GTTGCGCCGTTTTGGTCGGAACAGACGTCGTTCCGATCGCGACTAGAACGGCTCCCTTACTGGCCGTCTTTGTCGCACCAGAGGGGCGGCACTCCGCTTTGGAGATGGGAATTACCGTCCAGTTCTTTTAATTATATATATATATATATATATACACGTTAGTCGTTGTTGATTTTAATTCTTATGTGCTCGAATTTGTTGGTGGTTGATTTAATTTGGTGAGATTTGAGTTAATTTGGCGGAATTAAAAATTGGCTTTATATGTGTATTTCATTCCTTCAATGCTACTGTACGAAGTTGTGTTGGAGAAGATGACATATTTGCACATTCAGCCCCCAGGCTCTACCCCTGGTCAAAATCGCCCTCAAACTTTCAGTTTTGCTGAAAAATTGAAGATTTTGTAAGATTTTATAAAGTTTAAAATTTAATAATGTGATTAGTTTAAATATTGTTAGTTTTAATTTTTAAGTCTGAAATTTGAAAAATACGAAATATCTAGTATGAATATAAAAAATACGACTTAATTAGAATTTCTGGAAAAAAAACTTAAATAAATCTTAATTAATACACAACACATCTTAAATAAAAAACACAACTTTTTTTTTTTTTGAGGATGTTGAATTTCCTTTTCTTTTCTTTTTAAAAAAAAAATCCTTTTTTAAAAATTTTAATTCATTTTTTAAATTACAAATTCATTTGATTTGGTGTTTTTTTAAATTCTTGTTTTTTAAATTCCATAATTTGAAAAAAAATCGATAATTTAAAAAAATTTATTGACTCGGTCATTATTTCGATAAAATTATCTTTTAGATGGTTATGTAACACTAACTCCTTCGTAATTTGAAAATATATTGATAATTTAAAAAAAATTGATGATTCGGTCATTGTTTCGATCAAATTGTCTATTAGATGGTTATGTAACACTATGTCATCCGTAATTTGAAAATATATCGATAATTTTTAAAAATTTGATGATTCGGTCATTATTTCGATCAAATTGTCTATTAGATGGTTATGTAACATTAAGTCCTCCGTAATGGTGACTCTTGTACAATAAAGAGTCATAATAAACTATCCCAACAAACAATATGCTAGTTGTATAATTGAGCAAGGCCACGTGGCAAACTCCTAAGAATTGCACAAGAGATGTTACACAATTTGACAACAAATTTGAAGCCATATTGTGTGTATTTGAATTATGAATTTACTTTATTAAATATATAAACCTATTGTCGTAAAATTAGAAGATATAAATCTAAACGTGTTTGTAATTTATACAAAAATATTAAACTTTTATAGTTTTTGATAAAGTCTAAAATTAATTATATAGAAAATAAAGCTATGTATGATATTTTATAGTTATAATAATATTTCTATTTATATAATTTTCTGATACGATCATTTTTTCCACTAATACCTATATTTATAATATTTTTGTGCATCGTATTGTATGAAGAAAAATTCAATAGTAATTAATTCAATACCTATTTTAGACAACTTTAAAAACATTAAAGAACCTTAAAAAAAAAATTTGCCACCTTTGTGCTATATATGAATAAAACTAAAGTACTATTTAGCATGGATCAAAATTTCTTTCTTTTCCGTCGAAAACATCGAAAAGTTTTCGTTTTTTAATCAATCAAAACGAAAATAAGGAATATTTCCGAAACTCTATATTTACCTTGGAACTTTCTTTTTTTCTTAATTTAGTAACCTTTTTTCATAATTTTTCCAAGTTTTTGTCGAAACGTTTCCGCAAATTTGTCGAAAAGTTTCCTATATTGAGATGACCGAAACATACATTGAAAACGAAACTTTAATCCATGCTATTTAGTTAACTGAAAAACTTATTATTGGCTTAAGTAAAAAAAGTCAAAACATATAAATTGTAAAAAGTGATGAAAACATATAAAATTTGATTAAAAAATATATGATAAAAAATGGTAAAACAATGGAAAATTGGGTTAGATCGAAGAAAAACGAGTTAAAGCAAAAAATTGGTACAATTGATAAAAAACGAGTTAAACCAGCAAAACATGGGTAAACCGGTAAAAAATGAATGATATCGGCTAAAAGATGGATAACAAAAAATGTGTCAAATCAATAAAAGAAAAAAAAAAGCAAAATACGAGTTAAAGTGAAAAAAAAAAGTGAAATAGTCGAGAAAATAGGTTAAATAAACAAAATAATAAGTAAAATTGAATAAAATTGGGTTAAACCAGAGAGAATAAGTGAATTGATTAACAAATGGGATAAACCACAAAAAAATAATGAAATCGGTGAAATAACGGGTTAAAATAACATAAGAAATTGTAAATACAATGTAAAAGTGGATGAAATTGAAAAGAGCATGTTAAAATAACTAAAAAAATGGTAAACTCAGTGTAAAAGTGGGTTAAATCAATAAAATAGGTTTACTCAACAAAATTGAAGAAAATTGATAAAAACATATTAAATTAGTTAAAAAATGGATGAACTCAGTAAAAGACAAATATAACCCACAAAACTGATGAAATCGATAAAAAAAATTGGGTTAAAGTTGTGAAAATTGGTTTAGATGGGAAAAAATTTAGATGAAAATATCAAGGTCAAAGAAGAAAATAATTGATGTTGTTCATTCGTTCAAATGGTAGTTTTAGAATAGGTTAGAAATACTTAGTAATTATTATTATTTATTTGTTTTTTTTTTTAGTTTTTTTTTTTTTTTTTAAGTTTTGATTTTAGGTATTTATGATAACAACTTTAAATTCTAGATAACAACATAGTAATAATTGAAGTGATTTAGTCAAAAAAAATTTGTGGTATGTAATCAATTGGATGATAGTATGATGAAAAATGATTATATGATTCAACTAGCGTAGAAAATTAGTTAATCACGTGCAACGCACGTGCACTTGTCTAATTTAATTAATTTGCAAGTTATTATTAGAATTCACCACATTGATTGGGCTAAGTCCACTTACATGATTTGGGCCTAACTCAACCTCAAAAGCTAGCTTGTAAGGTGATGATTGCCCAAGACCTTATAAGGTGGACTTAACTAATGTTTTCAACCAATGTGGGACATTTAGTCTCAATACTCCCCCTTCACGTGTGGGTGGGCTGAATGTGTGGGTGAAATAAGCCCAACACGTGACATATTAAAGCCCAACATGTGCGAATTATTGACATGTGGGTAAGAGTCCAACACGCGGATTTGCCCAGATCGTGTGGATCCCCAACACGCGGATTTCCGCGACCGTGTGGGTGAAGAATAAATCCCATCACGCGCGCAAGAAAGAACCCATCACGGAAGGAGGTGGCCCACTTCAACCTGGGGCTCTGATACCATATTAGAATTCACCACATTGATTGGGCTAAGTCCACTTACATTGTTTGGGCCTAATTCAACCTCAAAAGCTAGCTTGTAAGGTGAGGATTGTCCAAGACCTTATAAGGTGGACTTAACTAATGTTTTCAACCAATGTGGGACATTTAGTCTCAATAGTTATTTATTTTCTTGAATAATTCCTTATCAATTATATTGGGAAGTGATTGCTCTATAGCATATACTATATGTCTAATTTAATTAATTTGCAAGTTATTGTATTCGTGCATGTCATATTATTAAGTTAAATGCCATTATTGTATTGTGCATATGTATTCTGTAGTAAATATTAAGGATCAATTGCATCAAGTCAGGTTTAATTTATGTGAAACGTATTTTACAATTTTCATAGTAGTACTTATTTTATAATTTCTTATTGGACTATGAGATTGGGTGGATTTGGATCTAGAAGTTCACAATCTCTTTTCTTTTCCTGGATGTTAATATTTTTTAATTTACATTTTTAACACTTTGAGCTTTGAAGTTTGAACTCGATCCCTTTTATTTTAATAACCATATAGTTGAATTGTTCGTCAAAGGCAGGGCCGAATTAGAGCATTTCGGTTGGGTTGGGTTGAGGGCGAAAATCTTTTTTAGCAAATTCAGTTTATTTTTGATATTGAGATAAAATCACAAGAACTTAATTAAAATAAAACTACACTGTAAATTTATCCAATATAAAAGGTGAAAAAATATACCATTAATTTTTGTTAAACTTCATTCAACAATGATTCAAAATATTAAGGAATTGATAAAATAAAAAAGCATTTTACGACATAAATCTAGTTATATATATATATGAAATAATTCAATAAAAAATACCAAAATTCATACTAAAACCTTCTTTTACTGTAATATACGAAGATTATAATCAAGATATAAAAATATATTATGAATATATGGCCATATTAATATATTAGCTGTTCGAAAAACCATCTTTGTTATAGGCAGACATAGCAAAAATATCTTCCTCACCGCCGTCTGTGGGAATCGAACCCACGACCACATGGTTAAAAGCCATGCGCTCTACCAGCTGAGCTAAGACGGCAATGTTGACATGCTAATCGCATGGTTTATTTAAATGTATTTTTGAAATATTATTTAAACGTATTATAAAAATATAATTTCATAAAAAACTGGTGTTAATATTTTTTAATTTACATTTTTCACACTTTGAGCTTTGAACTCGATCCCTATTTTTGAATAACCAGATAATTGAATTGTTAGTCCAAGGCAGGGGGCCGAATTAGAGCATTTCGGTTGGGTTGGGGGCGAAAATCTTTTTTGGCAAATTCAGTATATTTTTGATATTAAGATAAAATCACAAGAACTTGATTAAAATAAAACTACACTGTAAATTTATTCAATAAAGGGTGAAAAAATATACCATTAATTTTTTTTTAAACTTCATTCAACAATAGTACAAAATATTGAAGATTTGATAAAATATAAAAGAATTTTACGACTTAAATCTAATTATATAAATGAAATAATTCAATAAAAAATACCAAATTCATACTGAAACCTTCTTTTACTGTAATATATGAAGATTATAATCAAGATATAAAAATGTATGGCCATATTAATATTAGCCGTTCGAAAAACCATGCTTGTGGGAAACTGGGAATCGAACCGCCGTTTATGGGAAACTGGGAATCGAACCACGACCACATGGTTAAAAGCCATGCGCTCTAACAGCTGAGTTAAGAAGGCATGTTCAACATTAAATCGCATGCTTTATTTAAGCTTATTATAAAAATATTATTTAAACGTATTATAATAATATAATTCCAAAAAAACTGATTTTGATTTTTGAAACGTTGGAATGGATATAATTTAGTGAAGGAATTGTGTACTCGTACTTCAACCACTAAAAGGTTGGGTAAAATTATGTCTTTCGGGAAGAAAATGCCACCCAAAAAGGCTGTGTGAGAAAATCATGCCAAGTGTTCGACGAAATGTAGAAACAAGATGAGGGCAAAGGGGCTTTGTTGAGAAGTTGCATTCCAATTGTTTGATGAAATGTAGCCAATATATACATGCCAAGGTTTTGTTTTGTTGATTTATCATGAATTCAAATGGATAAACTCGTGCCGACGAAATCCCATTTCAACGGCAAATTAAGACTAAAAGGTATTGAGTTCGGGTCCCATTAATATGTGAAAATTTGTCAGGTTTCATACTAGTTGTTAGTTATTAATTCATTATAAGTTGTTTTATTCATTGCAATTTGCTAGTATATTCAATCGATACTCTGATATATGTTTCACTCAAAGAAATGGATAAAATTATACTTCCTGAATCAAGAAAGATTTATATTACAACTTCAAATTATACATAGATAACATACAAATGCAGCATTCACATACAACAACAAATACAACACAAAGAAACACGTAATACAAACCCAAAGATTAAAATTCAGTATAAATTATTCACCATCCATGTCTAGATTTCTTGCAAGATGATTTGAGCACCGTACTGCGGGTGAGTTGTGAAAGCTGCGTAGGGGGCGTGGGTATATTCCGGAGAGAGCTCCCAAGTGAAAGTATGCAGAAGAGTGGCCACGAAAATCTTGGCTTCCATTATGACGAAGTTCTGGGCAATGCAAATCCGAGGAACCCACCCGAAGGGCAAAAGCGCGGCGTGGCCATTGGTAGATTTAAGAATTCCTTCGGCAAACCTTTCTGGCTTGAACTCTGCTGCATCTTCGCCCCAAATATCTCTGTCTCTATGTAGCTCAAAATTGGCCAAAAGATATAACTCAATTTTATTTTTTGATCCATTTCAATTTATATTTAATATTTTGATTTACCTAGATACGTTAACCAAACTTTGCATGAGTAATTCTACTGGATAAAACTCTTGGAAGAGCAGTTAATCACACTCGTTAGTTAGATGAGTTTGATAAGACCAGCTTTGAGCTATAGTTTTCTACCGTGCAAACCTCTATTGGAATCCAAAATTTGGTTGAACAAAACACTATTTGAACTTATACTTACAATTTTCAGCTGGCTCAAATCATCAGGAGAGAGTTTCTTCTTCTTTCCGACAACTCGGAAAACCTCGTGATGTACCAAGTCTTCGTCCCTTGACGTGGACCTCCACATACGCTTAAAATATATATATGATATCGACATGACCAAGAATAGAGGTACAGCGTCGGCATGTCACGTAAAAAGTGTCGATGGCCGACGTCCTTAGAAGTTTCACATCACAACGCCACCGGGTCAAGTCGAATAAACCACACCCGTATCCGAGTCCATACGTCTCATCACAATCCGACCCGGTAGTTGCATTGCAAAAACTATAAATACCCCTCTTTAATGAGAATAGGTACGCATAATCTAAACATACAATATAAAACCATATCTCTCATCCTCGAGACTAACTTAAGCATCGGAGGGTTATCACCGGGTCACCACCGGTACTAACCCAACGTAGTTATCTTTGATTTCAGGTTAAGATCCCGAAACTTTAGAGGAAGGACTTGATTGACCTACTGCTCCTCGTATTGATAAGTCACGTTTAATCCTGACACTTGGACAATAAACAATTAATATACGGAAAATACACTCATCACCTCGTCTCTTGCGCGAGTTTGCCATTCCGGGTAAATTGCAAGATTAACCATTGTCCAAACAAGAAAATTTGAAGTTGCTCCATTGCCTGCAAAGTAAAAGAGTTTGCAATTTCCAATGGTGTAATACCCCTTAATTACTTTGTTTTTTTTTAAAGGTGTATTAATTTTCATGGTTGGAGGCAAAATAAATTTATATTCTCTAATTTATGAAATTATTTGAGTTTGGGGTCAAAATGATGTTATAAGAAAGTTTAAGGGTTAAAATTATATTTCTAAAAAGTATGAGGGCCAAAATGCAATTTTTGCCAGAAATTGGAAAAAAAAAATTATATGTAGAAAGCAGCAGGGGACGTGCCCTGCTGCTGAAACAAGCATGGCGTATCTTAGTCACTCCGTCTAGCTTGCTTAGTCAAATTCTTAAAGCGCGATACTTTCCTCATACTCACTTACTAGGGGCCACTTTAGGTACTAATCCGTCCTTGACTTGGAGAGGTATTTGGGAATCTATTAAGTTCATAGCGGCTGGCCTTCGATGGAGGATAGGGAATGGCTTTAAAGTTCGTATTTGGGAAGATAGGTGGTTACCTAGACCTCACTCTTTCAAAGTTTCATCTTTACCTTGTATCCTCCCGCAAGACAGTACAGTCAATGCTCTCTTCGATTTATCTTACAATTCTTGGAATAGAACATTGATTGAGGAGATCTTTTCCGAGGAAGAAGCGAGAATAATTTTATCCATCCCACTTGGGAATCAAACCGGAGATGATCATCTTATCTGGCACTTCGAAAGATCGGGCCTGTTTTCAGTTAAATCGGCTTATAGATTGATTCGTGACTTGAAACGTATGGATGCTGAATCTGTATTCGGGGGTACGAGTTCGAGTATGTCGCGAGATCAAGGTTGGATATGGAGTCTGGCAGCACCTCCAAAGGTCCGTCTATTCGTTTGGAGTTGCTGTTCGGGTGCTATTCCGGTACGCGAAAGGCTTAAACAAAGAAAAATTCCAGTAGAGAACTTTTGTCCACGCTGTAAACTTCATTCTGAATCTATTTTACATTGTCTTTTATATTGCACCTTTGCAAGACAGGTTTGGGCCCTTTCGAATCTTCCCTACGCTAGCTACAGGTATGATGGTAATGAGGTGAAGAGTTGGCTGCTTCAAATTAAATCAAGCACTGATGCTAAGGATTTTGGTTGGGCAGCAATACTAATGTGGTGGATTTGGTTTGGAAGAAATAAATTGTTGTGGGAAAATGAAGACCTCCAACCTCTTGTCTTGATAAATCTTGCTCGGGACTTCTTTAACAGATTTCTAACTGCCTCTGTTCATACCCGGATCCCTTCACCGAACCGTACTTCAGCAAAATGGCAGCCGCCTCCCTGTCCATTTGTCAAAATCAATTTGGACGCGGCCTTCTCCGGGGATGGTGAGTTGGTTGGGTTTGGTATGATCGCAAGAAATGGGGAAGGAGTGTGTATTGGTTGGAATACTTTGACATTTAATCTTCCTCTTAGTCCCGAAGCTGCCGAAGCTACAGCTGCCCTTCGTGCGATTGAATTTGGTCTTGCCTCGGGTTGGAATCACCTTATTCTTGAAGGAGATTGTCTTACGGTCATGAAGGGAATCTCGAACCCATCAGCCTCAAATGGTGTTCTTGGTCATATATTTGAAGATATTTCGAACTTGGCTTCTCGATTGGAATCTTTTCAAGCTTTACACATAGTGCGCGAATGCAACATGGCAGCTCATCATCTTGCCAAACTAGCTGTCTCGGGCTTTTCTTTTTCTTTTGATCTTCCGTCTGTTATTCATAACATTGTAATCTCTGATCTTTCGTGAGTGTTATCTTATTCTTGTTTCCTCAAAAAAAAAAAAACGTGCCCTGCTGCTGTATGTTATATGTCCAGGTGGATGAAAACATTTCTCCACCCATGTCTTCTTTTATTTCATTCCATTCATATGAATGGAAATCATTTTTGAAAGTCAAAAACCATTATTCCCTTTCCTTTTTCTCTCAATTTCACACATCGATTTACATAACACAAAAGAGGGAGAGAAGAGAAAGAGTGAGGCAGAGCCGAGAGTAATGGAAGAAAAATGAAAAGAAAGAAGAAAGAAGGAGAGGAAAGAAGAAGAAAAAGGAGAAGCAAATATGGTTCATTTTCCAAATCCCCTTGAATGTTTGGTAAAAATTCTCATCTCTTTTACTATATATATTTCTCCTTTATGGCTTTGTAGTGAGGGATTGAAATTCTTGTTTCAATTTTGGGAATTAGAATGTCGAATTTTTTATAGGTTTAAATTGAGAATTTAATAGAATTGCTCAAGCTCCTTGTTTAATTGAATTAGCTAAAATAATTCTTGTGGGTTTGTTAAAATTATTATAACTTAGGTATATTGAATACATTCTTGCTTAGTTTGGTTCTTGAGGATAAATTTTATTCTTTAGGAAGAATTGGCTTGTTTCATTGATATTGAGTTTCATGGTATGAATGAATATATGATTCTAGTTTAAACTTTGAATATTATGACTTTGAATATTATGACTTGAATATTGATAAATAAGTTTTGGTGAAGTATAATTACACTTATTATTGAGCGTTAGTTGATTTCTATCTAAACTAATTTAAGTTTGCTATAAACAAACTTGCTTGATGAGAAACTAAAATTCGTGTCTTGAATTAGAGATCTCTTGGGTTTAATTAATTCATTTAGATTATCTAATTAATGTATAATTTGAATGTTACGTAGGAGTAGAGTTTATAGTTAGATGACAAAATCTTCAAGGCATATTTTGGTTTAGACTTGATTATATATAAGTGAGCACAAGAAAGTTTAAAAAAAAAATTGAGTTAGTACAATGAGTTTTATAATATGCCTTTATGAGTATATTTATTACGAATAGGTGATTATAAGCAAGATGAAGTCAATGATCGAGGTTTAGACAAAAACTTTCATGGATTTCAAGTTTGATGTCAACCTTTCTTAAAGATCAAGGTGAGAGCTGCATCTTTATTTGAGTAATGTGTATAATTTGATTGTGTGAATATTTATTTTATGTGATATCTAGGATTACTAAAGATACATGTATGTGATGCTCACATTGACTGTTTTCTTGAGATATTGAC